AAACTGTTGTTTTAACATTTTTAACATTTTTTTGAGGCTTTACTAATTTGGCTAGCAGCAATGCCACGTCAGCCTTCGGATTAAGCTTTTCATGCGATGCGCAAAGAATAGAAAATGAATCGTCTTTGTCGATGGCTTCCATTTCTGACTCACGCTTTCGCTTCGATGCAATTCTCGGTTGTTGTTGTTGCTGCTGCTGCTGCGATTGCTGCTGTAACATGTCATAGAAAATCGTATCTCAATGCAAATGGGTTGGATTCGTATCAAGTCTTCTACGAATGATTTGGTCGTACACAATATTTTGATATAAAAAAAAAAAAAACAGAAAAAAGACTGAAGAGAGATAGAGTTGTGTACGTGCTGTTTGTTTTCTTCTTCTTCTTCTTCTTCTTTTGCTGTTGCTCAAGCCGCTGTTTGGCGACTCAAAAAGTCGTGAATGAACGAATCGAAATTCGAATTTTTCATTTGTTGTTCACGTTCAGTTTACACTTGACATTTTACCGCACTATAAATACTAGATTTATGTATATTTTTTATCTTTTCTGTGTATTTGGTTAAGTTTTTTTGTTGCTCTTTTTCTCTCTCTCTCTACCGACACATTACTTTAATCGGCAATTAATTTCGGCGCGAATGTTACTATTATTCTGTTAAATTTTTCAATCACTTGGTTTCCTCGTTTCAAATTCACCAAATGCTTCCAACAAACTCGTGCAATAAAACCAAACAAAATTTGTGTGTAAGAGTTAAAACAAACTAATGATATTTTGAGAGAAAAAAAATTAACAAATTAGATGTTAAAACCAAAAGAGGAAGCTTCGAAAAAACAAGGACGAAAGAACTTAAAGTGAATTTTGATAGTTCGATATATGAGTCATTCTGTGTCTGTGTTGTTTTCAAACCACCGTTCATGTGTAATTCAGTTGTTTATGAAATGAATCTTCAAGCAAGTAGGTGTTTTTGTCATAATCGCCATAAACACTGAATAGATAGATACACACATATATTTCGTATGAACTTGTATTATTTCTTTCTTTCTTCAATGGTTGATTTCGACAAATTTTTTTATTTTATTTCTTATTTCAACTTCTTCTTTTTGTGGGGTTTTCGTCGTCGAAATTCTATTTACACTATGGGGTATTTAATGTTCTGTTCACGTTTTTTGATTTGCATTTATTTTTTGTATCTCGGTCAAACTCTCTTGTTCACAAAACCCCGAAATAATTTCATATATTTTTAGTGATTATGAACACTAAGCACTGCTCTGCAGTCAACACTCGCCATTTTCTTACGTTATACACTAACGCCCGTCACGATAGTCTGCTGTTCACTTTTGATCTCACATTTCGAACAGAAGCTTCGTCTTTTTTGGTAAAACGCTCTCAGCATTTCAAGCACGAAAAGACTATCTTTCTAAACAAACAAAATATATATAAATTATAGTCACCAGACGACTCTTCCTGGTCGAAGTATTAAACGTTGGGTCCATCTGAACGAGCTATACAAAGTGTACTTGTAAATAAAAAAGAAACAACGACCATTCATTTATTCCGTTTGATTTTTATTCGAAGAAGTTTGGCGATTTATTTTATTCAGTTCCTTTTCGAAATATAATTACTTTCATATAAGTAGTTCAGTTTTATATTGAATACTCCTTTTCTTAGTTTTATTTTGTACAAATATTTTATCTACTGAAAAACTTATTTTGTCTAAATCTGATTTGGTTTTGAGAGCGTTTTAAGTTGACCCCGGATGTCAGGGCCTTTTTTCCCTCTGTGCGAGGTCGTGCAATGTACGAGAGCGCAATGGATCAGAGGGCTCTAGCGTCCAAAGAGCGCAACAATTCGGGAGCTAAAACACAAGCCTATTCGTGAGCTTCCAAATTGTTGCGCTCTTTGGACGCTTGCGCCCTATTTTAATTGTTTGCATAGAGCGCTGGAGCGCTTTTTCTGCTCGCTTTGATTATGAAATTTTGCTGAAATTTTTTTTTTCACATAAGCGCCCAAGCACTTTCGAAAACACAAATAATGTCTGAGCATTAATAATGGGTAGTCAATAAAACACAACTAATTACTCCAAAGTGTCAATAACAACTAAAGTGCATTTATTCCATTTCTTACTAACTAAACAATATTCAAATTTATGGTGCAATGACCGCTTGGTCAGCGATTTATTTGTGTTACTCTTTGATGCTATGTTGTTCACATTGATTATGAATTTATTATGTCCATCGGACATTCTCCCGGGCCGAAAAAATGAACGAGGCGACAGTGCTATACTAGACTTGCAATCAATTTAAAGTGAACTCTCTTTTTTTTACTGAACTGAAATGAAAATGAGAACAAAAAGTAACTTAAGACTATGTATCGTATTCTGAATCGATACTTGGCATGGATACTGCTTTGCTTATTGCAAACCGTGGTGACGGAAGCGGTTTGGCCATTGATCTTTCTTGGGCAATTCTCACTTTTTTTCTCTCCATCTCAAAGGATATTCCACGCTGTTTTTTCTCATTTCGCTTTTATTTCTTCCTCTGCTGTACTCGTCTCTTTTTGAATAAATAAACAAAAATATGGATTAAAACGTTCACTGACAATTTTATACCTATGTAATTTTTTGATGTCCGTCTTCGTTGAATGTATTATGCTCATTTGTTCGCTGAACTTGACTTTGTATTCGTCCGATGTTGACTGTAAGTTGTCGATACTTTTTTGAATTTCATTATCCTTTGACCGCAATTCGTCAAAATAATGTGCCTGCAACCAAAATTCACGTCGGTGTCTCCCGCTTCGTCTGACGTCATTCACTGGAGCTGACTCGATGGTTTTTTTTTTGTTGTACCTTTTGCCAATGCGACAACATACTTGTTTTGGTTTCGAGGAGCTCTTCATCGGGAATTCGTTCACCGTTGGCCACATTCAAAAAATGGGCAGGTGTGAGCACACCCATTTCATTAAGGTCATCGCTCAGTTCGCATATTGGACGCAAATTAAGCACATACTCTATTTGACACAGAAGAGTAGCCAATTCCTCAAAGGTTAATGCTGAGTCACCAATCACACGTTTTAGGTGAAATTTCGATGATTTCACCGCCGCCTCGGCCAATCCATTGAAATGAGGGCTAGCTGGTGGTAAAAAATGCCACTGAATTAACATTTTATTACTTTCTTCTTTCAAAATGGCGTCAAATTGCTCGCGTTCATCTTCACTTAACTCACTGAGAATCGAATTTGCTCCCACGAAATTAGTCGCGTTATCCGAAAATATGTCTGTTATTGTGCCTCTCCCAGCCGCAAAACGACGTAACGCGGCAATGAATGCCACCGCTGTTAAATCTCCCACCGGTTCCAGATGTATGGCTCTTGTCACCATACATACAAAAATACAGATGTAGCCTTTTACTATTTTGGCCGCTCGTAACTTATTTGTCTTCACTTTAATGGGCCCAGCAAAATCTATTGCTGTTTTGACGAATGGTTTATCCGATGCATTAACACGTTCTCTACGTAAATCACCCATAAGTTGGGCCATTGTACGCGGTTTATGAATGCTACACTTTACACAGCAATGAATTATTCTCTTAATTGAGCATGCTCCACCTTCTACCCAATATTTTCTGCGTAGCAATGATTCAGTTAACTTTGGCCCACTGTGTAAGCCCAATAAATGAGTTTCACGAATGATCGACAGCTACGCTGACAGTTGTGTTTTTTTTCGTCTCTCGTCTTTGTTTACATTATTTTATCGTTTTTAAATAGTTATCCACATTGTTTTGTCACAAATTTTATATCATTCTATTCGTAAGGACTTGCTGTATCGTAATATTATAAAGTTCATTCGTGTCAACACAATTTCGCCCATTTTTTTCTGTGATGATTTGTGCACATTTTTGGTTACGTCGCTCTCGTTGTTCACGTCGTTTTCCTGTGTTATTGTTGTTGTTTTTCATAACCATAAAATGGCCCAATGTGCGTTGTGTGTGAAACCGATAGCCAATGACAAAAGCATTTCATGCTATGGCTTATGCGGCAAACATTTTCATTTCGCGTGCCTAAATAAAAACGAATCCACCACTGTTTTCAACAAAACTCTGACAAACTTTCTGGCGAAAATAACCGGTTTACAGTGGTATTGTGACAGTTGTCAGCCACATACTCTTAGTGGCATTGTAAACAATTTCACTGAGTGTTCAAATTTGCGGATTTCAAACACACGCTAGTGCCTCTCATCGACAAAGTGTTGTGCGCTGACCTACCGCAAAAAAGTGCCAGTAACCAAAATAAACAAAATGAGCAAAATATCGGTGCTGTTGATGTGGTGGAAATTGACCAAAATACATTGCTGCGATTTATTGACAATGCCAATGCCACTGTGCACACTGAAAATGCTGTGATTGACGAAGAGTCAGCGGAACCGATGGACGAGGATGAACAAGATGTTGACTTGGACATTACAGTCGTCCCAAATGCCGAATCGGTTGTTGCTACATCGAGTGAATATGTGGAAACTCCACGTCCGAACCAAAATCTTGTTAAGCGTAAAATTCGTCGCCTAATCAACGAGACGGTGAAACGAACGTGCCTCACATCATCCGACGATCCAGGTATGTCGCGCGTTGATAACGCTGTTGATGAAACTGTCTCGACACCATCAGTTCATCAAAATGCAATGAATTTACGCAATTTGGTTCACGCTCCGGCCCGCAAACCGGTTAAAAAAATGCCTCACGCGCTCAAGCCAGCAATTTGCACGCCAAAGCGGTACCGTTACCACAGGTCAGCAATTTACACAAGAAAATTGTTCCATCAGTTCTACTGTCATCCAAACTGACGAAGAGCGTTCACATTTCACGCTTTTCAAATGACACCACCTGTGATGATATTTTGAGTCATTTGCGCTCCATTGACTCCACATCCAACATTGTCAATGAGATTCAATGCAAAAGATTGACAAGTGGTGGCCGGCCAATTTCAAGCTACAAATTCATAACGTTCAAACTGACCTTTCCTCGTCAATATTTTGAACGTGTTATTAATCCGTCGATATGGCCAAGTTCAGTTAAGGCCTGTGAATTTGTGGACAAACCGAAACCTCCCTCGTCCACCAGTGCACCACATGTCAATTCAAACCGGCTGTCAAAAAACGGGATGCACCCAAATGGCCACATAAACAGAGTCAGAAACCATCCTCAGCCAATGTACGCCTATACACAGGCACTGACGACACCGAGTGTGAACCATTGGTTCAATCCATTTGCTCAGCACCCAAGCCACTACCGCGCAGCAAACTCCGAGCAACAGCAAAACCGTTTCGCCCATCGCGTGGGCAACAGCCGATTCCGTTAATCCCCAAGCTGCACACACCCGACGCGACACGCATCAGTGTCTATTACCAAAACATTCGCAGCTTGGGTAACAAACAGGATGAATTTTTCCACAAATGTTCTGCTTTCGGTTTTGACATAGTCATCTTGACTGAAACCTGGCTCAAACATAGCCACCGTAATGCCGAATTCTTCGATAGCACATACGACGTCTACCGCAAAGACAGATTATTTAGACGAGGTGGAGGTGTTCTCATTGCGCTCAACAATAAAATCTTCTCTACTGTAGAAATTAAATTTTACAACGTGGACATTGAGCACGTATGCATTAAAGCAAGCCTGCCAACACACAACATTTTCATTTACAATGCATACATTCCACCGAATTCATCCAGTGAAATCTACGCTTTGCATCGTTCAGCCATTGAATCACTCACGACAAGTGCCGATGATGTTGTAATAGTTGTTGGCGATTTTAATTTGACAAACGTTGAGTGGATAAATGACGATGAGGAAAGCAATGTGCTGGTTCCCTCAAATTTCCACTCCCAATGTGCTGCTGATTTCATCACAGGTTTGATGGGCCTGGGCCTCCAGCAAATCAATTCAATAAGAAATCGGAACCTCAAACTGTTGGACCTATTTTTTACTAACGACCATGCCAACACAACAGTGAGCGATGCTACTAAACTGTCATTGACGGATAAAATCGACATTCACCACCCTCCTTTGTTGATTGAATTTGAATGGCATCCGATTAACAATGGTTCGGAAAACCAGAATAGCACGCATTTAAATTTCAAACGGGCTGATTTTCAGCGCATGAACGAATATTTTGCTGCCGTCAATTTCGATGACTTATTCGCAAACAAATCACTTGCGGAGAAGGTGTCATCCCTTCATGACGTGTTAGCGAAAGCTATTCAGTGTACGGTTCCAACGTATGTCCGCAAGAACAACCAAAAATGCCCATGGAAAAACAATGAACTTCGGCATCTCAAGAATTTAAGGAAAAAGGCCTGGGATTACTGGAAGCTGACAAATGACAAACAGCCATTTGAAGAATTGCACGAGGAATACAGTGCAAAAAATACCGAGCTTTACAATCAGTATGTCGACAAAATGAAATCAAACTTGAAAAGTGATCCATCTTCGTTTTGGCAATATGTTAACTCCAAAAAGAGCACTGATAACTAAAGCCTCAAAAAAATGTTAAAAATGTTAAAACAACAGTTCTAACATTTTTTGACCGTTTTTCAGAAAAACAACATTTTTTGACGAAT